GTCCCCTGCATACAGAAATTTGATAGACTCATTTATATCAGCTTCTGTTACCACATGACACAGCCTTTTCTTCCTTACAGTAGCTGGAAGAAAAGAAAACAAGGAATGATTAGCAACGATTTAACCATCATCATATTAGATTCAATAACGATAGACAATTTAATGAATTTAAAGAAAAGAAGCAAAGTGCAGATTTAGATAGTATTTTCTAGTACATTTTATTTGAACACTTATAAATATCTACTTAATTGCAACGAGATGTTTGGTTTGTTTCAGCTCTGAAAACGTCACTTTTCCCCCTTTCCCCAACCAGTTAACTTGCAGAGCCACAGAGGAGCTGAATAAGTGGCTTTGCAACTTTCTTACAGTGAACTTATAATCTGATCCTGCTATGCTCTTTCATAAGTCCACCTGCAAGATGGAAAAATGTTTTACAATGAAATTCATCATTGTCACAGATAACTATTGTGAATCCATTACAAAAAGGATTGATGTACACTTTCTTATATATATATTTGTAATTTAATGCTTTATGCATTTCGACAAAACTGTCCACACCAATTTAGTAAATAAAATCTCTGTAAATTTTCATTTGGTATTAATTAAGATAACTTTATATCATCTGGTTTATTGCTTATATGTACAAATATTTTGCATCATTCAAAGCACAGTGATTAAAAGTGAACTTACATGAATAATTCTACATTGAATTTCAAATGAAAAATCATGTATATTATAAATATTTACCATCTTTCTTAACCTTTCTTGATGTGTTCCTCAATAGATGTCAGCTGTTCCAGGGTGGAAATTGATAAAAAGGAAGGGACTTCATCATCATTATCGTTCTGTTGTTGTTGATACTGAGTTGTTTCTTGGAGCCTTTTAAGCACTTTTTGCAATAGTTAACTAGTATTTCAATAGCAGGACAAAAGTCCCAATTAAATTTTTTAATTAATTTAGGCAAAAGTTTAAACATTCTGTCACAGTGCTCAATCAATCCAGATACTTTCTACCTCTCATTAAAAAAATAAATAATAATAATAACAAAATAAATAAATAAATAAATAAATAAATAATAATAATAATAATAATAATAATAATGATAATAATGAGTAAAAAAAAATCTACCACTCATGCTTACTTCAGTGTATTTCAAAAGAAGTGTATTTCAAAAAAGATGTTATGACAATTAGTGCAATTTCATGTAATTACATGGTAGAGTAGTTTACAGTTAAATAATGAAAGGGTATCAGAGATTGATAGCATGCTTACCATGTTCATACAGCACTCTCACTGCATACCTTGTCCATGTCGACTTGTCTGGCTGTACGTGTGATTTGATGGCAGAGAGGGCTCTTTTCCTTTCTAAATGGAGGCCATAAAGCAGTCATCCATTATCCACTTTTCAGATATTATTCCTCCATCAATAAACTGCACCAGAATGAAGGCCATTTTTCTACAAATTATTAAATGTACATAATAACTTCTTTGAGTGCACCCCCCCCCCCCCAAAGAAAAAAAAAGATGAAAAAAGTATTATGTTGACTGCAGTTAAGTAAATCATATAATAATTTGTTTTCCGCTACTAATATTTCCTCCCATGCCCTACCCCTCCCCACCCCCACAAAAAAAAAAAAAAAAAAAAAAAAAAATCAAGATTCTTATACTTGTCTATATACATGTAGCTCACACGTGCGCACGTACACACACACACACACACACACACACAATCCATTTCACGACAGAATATGTTTTGCAGGGATTAAAGGCATGTTATCCTTTTTTTCCCTTTTTAAACCCATGCTGTATNAAGAAGGTTAAAATCATACTAAGCCCAGAAAATGAGAAAGAATTGTACGCTGTTGGTAAATACATTCAGAGGGCAATTTCCAAAAGAAATGAGCATCTGCCACACTGAAGTAGCCTCATCCTGCTATATATTATATGAACCATAAGTATGGCACATATACATATGATGTAATATAATGTATTACATGATACATATAGCTATAAACTTATCAAAGACAATGTGTGTTCCCTCAGTGTATTGAACTATTTACAATTGTAATAAGTAATTTAAACAAAGTATACTCTGTAATTAATAATCTTTAACACTGTATTAGTAGTAATCCATAGTGATGTATAACTATTTATTTATTTATATATTTGTAGTATAGAGGGCTAACAAATGTAACTGCCACATTTAATGCTCGAATAAATTATTATTATTATTATATAAAATGTGCTACATGTATCTTTTTGGTGGGATTATCAGAGAGAAAACTTTTGATTTTTACAAAAGTCGCGTCACCTCTACTCCTTTTATCAGGCACACGTTTTGTCTTTTTATGCCCCTCCTTTCCTATATTGTGCCCTTGCTTCTCAAGACGGTTCATATGTTCATAAAGTACCTGGGGCAAGTCCACAGTCGACATTGGAAAGTGTAAAGACTACTCAAAACTAAAACCGCCGAGGTGTGAACAGCTGTGGACGTCATCGCGCTCTACAACGTCAAAGGTGAAACCGAACGTTATCTCAGTGCAAAACCAAAAGAAAATAAAAGCATCCGAATTCATCTTACAAGGAACGTACAGAGCATCACTATCAATGAATACGACCCAACTTGTTTTGATTCTGTAGCTTTTCCGGCATAACAGCACGTCATACCACCTGTTAACCGTGTTCAGTAGAAAAACGATATCTCCTCGGCGGAATTATTTGTCAAATGTGTTTTACTCAAAATTCCATTGACTGCAATCGTACCAGTAATTGAACACTTGGATGTGTTTTTTTTTTTTCCTCTTATGGTCTGTCTTAAAGTAAACCCCGCCTGTTGTGAACCGCCTCTGATCCCACTGTACTCTTGAATGTCATGGGTAAAGCCTAAATCAATCTTAGTATAAAACCAAGTCCGAGCTCCGAGTCTGGTTGTCAAACACGACTTCGTGTACACCATGAACTTTACCGTTCATGTCGGGGACTGGAGTTGCGTGGGCTGAAATGCGGCACCCGGATTATGGATTGGGACAGCAGGTCTACACATGTACTTCCAATCTGGCGCTCTCCGTGACGAGGTTGAAAGTTTCCATCTGATCACTCGGTATCAACGGAGCTGTCGTGGCTGCGTGGTAACTCTGCTGTCGTTCAAACAAACACACACCTAGACGCTGGTTCGAGTCACAGCAGCTGCTGTGTCACTTTTTTGGCCAGAGTTAATTTTTAGAAATTGCGATTGATTACTATAAGAGGAAACTCGCACGTACGGAGGGCGGGCGGGTCAGTCACGGAGCAGTCGGTAGCGTGCATGGATGCAAATGAGACATCCAAAGCGTCTTCAACCTTGGTAACGCAAAGTCACGGGTTCGAGTCCCGGATGAGGCACGTCAGTCCATCACTACAACGACCTGGCCCCTGAATCGGGATGTCACAAGACGAGAACGAATGAGGGCGCTCGTGGGACTTAGCAAATTACCTTTTGCATAATAATACGGTATACTTTAGAAAGTTTGCATCTGCGTCGGCAATTGTATTTTGTTTCTCTTCAGTTTAAAGCCCTTATATTGGTGCCACAGATCTGGAACTTAAATTGAGCTATAACCAACTCCGCATGCCTTGCATTTCATCAAAATGTGCTACATGTATCTTTTTGGTGGGATTATCAGAGAGAAAACTTTTGATTTTTTACAAAAGTCGCGTCACCTCTACTCCTTTTATCAGGCACACGTTTTGTCTTTTTATGCCCCTTTTGACATTCTAAATCAAATTAGAGCAGTAGCCCTCTCAAACAATTTACTGTTTGGTAAAAAAAATCCAAAATGGCCGCCAATTTATGGAATTCTATAGAAATATGTACATACAGGTACCTTTGTTGATTTTTATCAAATAAATTATTTTCTCAGAGTTTTCCGCACCTTTATTACCCATTTTTTTTTCATATATGTCAGATAGCAAACAAGTTCCCTCGGACTTTTTGAAAAAATCCAAGATGGCTGTCATATGCCATAGAAACAGCCATACGAATACTAGTGCACAACTAATATCAGCTAGAAAGATACGTTGTCCACTATCAAATTGTTTGTTTCCTAGATTTTTGTCACCCACATAACATGTTTGTGGTGAGTAACTACGAGGTGTTCTTGGGCATTTTGGAAAATCCAAGATGGCTGCCATGTGCCACAGGAATTCTAGTACAGTAAACGGGGGGATTCAACTAATGGGAACTGCAAAGATTAATTTTCCACTATCAAATTAAGTTTGTTTCTGAGTGTTTTCCACATCCTTTCCACCTACACAGTATGTATGTGGTGAGTAACTAACATGTATTCTTGGACATTTTGAGAAAATCCAAGATGGCCGCCATGTGTCATAGAAATACTTCTAGTATTACAAAGGGTTGGAACTAATGCCAGCTAGGAAAAACATAATTCACTATCAAATTCAGATTATTTTTTCAGTGTTTTACATATTATTATTACACTGTGATAAATATCTAGCAGGTAATAAATGTGCATATTTGATAATTTTGAGAAAATCCAAGATGGCCGTTATTGGCCATAGGAATACTACTGGAATTACAACTGCACATCCATGGCTTTTCGTCTACTACCAGGGTGAAATTGTGTTTGTTTATCAAGTTTTGCCCACCCTTATTAGTCCTATTATATATATATATATATATATATATATATCTGGTGGGTAAATAGTGTGCATCCTTTCCGCTACTAGTATTTCCTCCCATGCCCTCCCCCTCCCCACAAAAAAAAAAAAAAAAAAAAAAAAATCAAGATTCTTATACTTAAGTCTATATACATGTAGCTCACATGCACGCACACACACACATAATCCATTTCACGACAGAATATGTTTTGCAGGGATTAAGGGCATGTTATCCTTTTTTCCCCTTTTTAAACCCATGCTGTACTTTATGCTTGCAGTTCAATATGCATAAGAACTCATTTTGGACATTTTACGAATCGGGGAATGTGCTTCATGACAATAAATCCAGAATATAGGCTTGTCTTTATTTTCAGTCCATCATTTCTAAACTGTTACAATGAATGAAATAATATCTCTCACTGTGTTAGAATAGACCTCAATTGTGCTATATGCACTAGATAAGAAAATCGTTCATTCTTGATTTACAAATTGTAAATTGTGCTTCTAGAGATATTCAGACAAACCTAAAATCATGTAAAAAAAATGAAAGTAAATGTAGTTGAAAGCAAAACTTCTTAACATTAGAGAGTTGTCTTCCACAATCTTTAATATCACATCACTCAAAGTGCTAACTCTTGCACTTTTTTCAAGAAAAGAAAAATAATCACTTCAATGAAATCATATTCACAATTTACAAGAGCACAACCACTCAAAAAAGTACACATATTTAAAAATAGTTCTACAAAGCCTAGATTCCAAAGCCAAAATTTTATTTCATTACAGTCTTTACCCATTGCACCATATCAGAAACCAGCAGACTTCACAATACCTGAACATAATAAAAAAATAACAGCACTACAAAGTGATTCAAAATAATAAAACTACTTGCATTAGAATTCTGCATCTTAATTAATTCTAGATTAAACCGACCTTAATTGAAAAGGATAAAAAGTTGCATAAGAGAACAAAAAGTCCAAGTACATTATTTAAAACAACAAAACAGAATGTGCATTCCTATCTTTCAATGTTACATGGCTAAATTAACTACTTCAAAGAAAACTGAATTATTTGTGTTAATATGAAATCAAACACTACAGCACCCTCCTTCTCCATCTTACTGAAAAATTGAAAAATTCCAGATATTTTCATAGCAGGTGTCTAATCTCTCTCAATCTATATTGGACAATAAACATTTCACAGTCATAAAAGGCAAGTCAAGACTAAAATCTTGGGAATCATAATTAGCTATAGACTATCCCTATTTTAGGCTCTTGTAAATTTTGAAAATGGAGCATACTGCACCGGAAGATCTTACCATAAAATGTATCAATGTACTTTTAAAAAAAATTCAAATAAAAGATTTATAAGGAAAACCGAAAACAATTCACATTAATAATATTATTTCTTTTTCAGCATTTTCTTTACAACTCCGTTTGCTGGAAGAAAGAAAGAGAGAAAGACCTCTTCTCAAATGTATTCTACTGAAGGCGTCAGACATGAGTCACAGGAAACCTGTATAAAAAGGTAAAATAATCTCTTTCTTAACAAAGGAAAAAAGTCTTGGCAATAATATCTATATGAACTCTTGGATAGTCAACAGATTGTATTAAAGCTGCATTGCCCAACTTCTCTGTTGTCCAATCAGCGAATCAGTTACAAGCAAATAAGCTGTATCATCCAATGTAATGTGTGCTTGCATATCATTCTAATGGTCTATTGGAGGATTGTGTGAAACTCTTCACTCTGGAGTAATAAAAATTGGGGTACTGGTTTTCATTGTTCACATCAAATTCATGGTGAACAGATCTGAAAATAAGGAAAAATAAATTCCTAAGAGGACAATTCCTTTTAAGTAAAATTGAGTTTTCAATCATGACAGGCTTTGAAAAAATAATAGTAATGAATAAAAAAAGCTAAAATGTTTGTTATTCTTAAATATAATAGTAGTTTTACTTGTTTGTCATTGTTACTATGTACCCTTGAATATACATGTATTTGCCAGATTTGGTTCCAACTTAAAATATCAATATCTTTCTCCTTTTACCTGCATCTGTCTTCTCATTAACAAATAAATTAAAAAATAAACAAAAATTATCAAATTATACATACAAAGCACTCTTAGTAATCTGTTAATCACAAGCACATAGTGTGTGCTGTACCAGAGAGATTATGTGGTTTTCAATGTGAATACTTTTGTCTCCTACCTGTCTTCAGAATGAACAGAATAGTGCTCCCACACCAGCTGTGTGTTACGATGCCTTCCACCACGATCCCTCAGAATGAAATCCTGAAACAAAAAAAAAAAAAAAAAAAAAAAA